GCAACATGACAGAACAGTGATCATATCAACACCAAACTGCAGGGACACGTGGCAGAAAGCACAGGATTAGTGCAGTGCTGAAATACACATTACGCAGAAGCATCTGGATAGAAAAGCCATGCATAAAGCATGCCTGCCCACTGAACAACATCCCCGAGGGTTACATTCCAAACGACATCAGCGATTTCAACGTGCTGCCAAAACTTTACAGCATGAGAACAGGCATTGTATTCTATTAGGATTTTAAGTCACTGTTCATGATGTCTGTCAGCTTTTTCTGATACTACCAGCCCTATGAAACAGGGCTCCCAGTTCAATACTCCTTTGAACTCTGGAAAAGTTCCTTTTCCAAAAGTACAATATTCCAACTCAAGACTCATCTACTCAGACAAACACCAGAAAAAGACTTATAGTCATTCATGCAGGAAGTTAGTTAATAAACTACAGGCAAAATCTGGAATTATTTTATTATAATCATAATTAATAATGTATTATGGTGATTATGGTTTGGCTGAGAACAAACAGACCCGCCTGAGCTAGTCTGAGATAACTGCCAAATCTTCTGCACATGTGACAGATGGTGGAAGCATTTTAAAGACTCCCTGTGCACAAGAACTCTGTGTAACGGGGGCTCAGATTCAATGGAACAGCGAAGTAGCTGAAGTGGGTCATGATAAAAGCACACTAAGCAGCATAATCTACCTTTAAAGCTTTGGGTTTCACCTGAAGAAAAGGTGGAGGGGGGGGAAAAAAGGTGCATTCAGGGATGTGAAAGGAATGTGGTTGCACAACTTATGTTGACTGTTGACTGATGAAAGCAAAGCAAACTGTGGCTTCTGATACAGCGCGCTAAATTCAGCAGGTATAGGGGGTGGAAGGACAATGGTTGAACTCAGTGGAGCTCTATCTCCTTCTAAAAGGGCTTGTTTAAACTTTCCTAACAGTTTTTACGGACAACACAGGGTGGTTTGGAAACATTGCAACTTACTTTTCAATAAACCTTATTCTTCCCAAGAACATAATTCATTTTGTGTGCTTACGTCTAATCTCTTTTGGCTCATCTTACTTTGTAAAGGGTTTTGAACTCCAAGAATGTTCCTCAAATACTCCCTCTAAGAGTCCCAGAAGGCAAATGCTAGAGTGTAGAGGAGGAAGACAGAACAATAAATGAAAAGGAATACCATACAACTGAGAACTCTCCCAGCCACATCCCAAATTAAACCCACTGCAGAGAATCCATCTTCCTCTCTAATTAATTTCTTATGGTATATGCAGCAAGGTAAGTTGCAAGGAATAGGCATTTATAGACCAAAAAAAGAGTCCAAATTAGAAAAAAATCAAAAGAAGAATTATACAACCGTTGACAACTGATGCTGCCAGTGTCCCTTCAGCCTTTCATTGAACCATTACAATTCTTTCCTTAGAACAAGCAAATATGCTGTATTCCTTTCTACACGAATGTACTTTCCAGAGCAGCATGCAATCACCACTTAAGCTTTGGCTTATGTTGCATTCGTGAATTTAACTTTTTATGAAGTTGTTCAAAGAGCAATTTAATATTATTATTTGGATGAACTTTCTCAGGCTAGGTTTCCACGTGGAGATCCTTCAACCCTTTGCTTTTTGGCAAGAAGTGGAGATGCAGGTGCTATCTGAAACCAGTTTAGAGTGCAATCAAACTGGGGACCTGATTGTCTTTTTAGACCGGTTCCATGCCCTTAATGTCAAGGAATTATTCCTGATTTATCCATGAAATGAATGAGAATCAGTCTGAAAGTATACATTTCCCAGAAATGGCATTACCCTTAGAGATATCATCAGCCCACCTACCTGAAGAATAATGTACTGCCAGCTTACAAAAAGAAAAAGTTTTAAAATAGAAGTGGAAGCTGTAATTTAGGTTGTCAGAGAAACCCCAAGTTCAGTTTTTATGAAGAACATGGGGTTGCTGTCAGCAAAAGTTGCTGGCTCTAGTGAAGGACAGAATACTGAAATTTCTCTCCTGGCAGCTATTGTACATCAGATATTTTCAACATATCATTTATTTTCTGCCTGCACGGAGATGCCAGCAGAGTCCTTTACAACAGAAAGGCCGGGCAAATCATGCCAATGTTGAAAAAGGCTTATACTAATGATACCATAGAGAAAACGTCCTTCACATATCTGCAGGGATGACAGGAGAATAATCCTCTTTCATGGAAGTTCATCATACCAGTGGCAAGGCATACCTTGAAGCCTTGACACAAATCATAATATTTTTTGTTCAGAGTAGGAAAAATAAGATCTAAAATGCTACGTGAGATAAGATGAAATCTCAGGTACCCATACTGTTTTGAAGGACCAAAACCTATCCTGCCAAAGAAAGCAAGAGTCTCAGCAATCTCTGTATTATTTTTTCCACCTGATTTCATATCATAAATGTGACACACATTGTTGAAGATCAGCATAAACAATTTTGTGTGTGTGTTTGACCTAATACAGGTTTTTTGTGACCCATTTTGGCAAGCATGTGTTTTGTTATCATCAGAACTCATAAAAATACTATTTTTTTCCTATGTCCTAACCATCTTTTTGCTGCTTCAAGGAACAGCATACACTTATACACAAAAAAAATCTATGTCAACGAAGTATGATTAAAGTTGTAAAAATCAAGCATTGAAAGGTCAGGGAATGCAAGAGTTGTCTGAACATCCATATTTTAAATCCCTCATGCCTGTGCATTATGATAAAGTTTTTAATTCCATGATAGCATATAGTATGTTCCATGATACCCTGTTTAGAGGTTCCAGAAGAGCACAGGAGTCCAGCTTTCATTCTTTGTGTAAAGGAAAGTGGTCATTACAAAGTAAATCCTACTTCACATCTGTAGACTTTCAGCTCAAAGATGACTTTGGGGCTAGCTCATGCAGTTTGCTGATGTCAAGAGCAGGTTGCAAATGCTCAGTGAAGATGGAATATATTGAGATTTCAGTTGATGAGATCAAATAAATCTTTCCTCAATACACACGAATTTCTTTTTTTAAAAAGCCTTGTATCTTGCATAAAATTGGTCAACTTTTCTCTCAAGACCCAAAATAATCTCCTGACAAATTTGAAGTCCCTGTTCCACAACCTGGCAAGCAACAGACTTGGAGATGAAAGACTCAGAAACAGCAGAGTAGTTTTTAGCACAACATTTTTAGCCAGTCTGACAAAGTTGTATAAATAACCAAAACAGATTTACGTACTGGGAAATGCTGGAAAATCTCATTAACTGAGAACTGATGACAGCCTCCCTGTAGTTTCACATGCAAAACATGTATGTACCTGCACACTATACAGAACAAATTAACACATACATTACTAGATAACACTTCAAAGCAAAACAAACACAAACTGTTTGAGTGGCATTAGAGTTTGAAGCATACTAAGACAAATTTAAAAATCTCTTAGTTTGGACCTCGGGTTTTTTTTTCAGGGAAAATGTGTGTGGTTTGAAACTTGGGTGTGAATATTGCATGGTGGGAAGAGATCTAATAACATCATTCCCAGGTGAAAAAAAAATATAGAGCCATACAAAAACGTGGGTGCTAGCGACATTTCTCTGTCTTTAATTACATGACTCCCAGTCTCTAAATTTTCCACCCTCTCTCCCACTTTTAGCTTAAGGTTCTTGTTCTCACATATAGAGCTCCACAAAAGTCCCTCCTGCCCACATCTCATTTTTCATTTTCTCCTTCTGTTACTGCCTGAGTTCTATCCAAATTATTTTCTTAAACGCCTACTGTACATTTCTCTGGTCTTCGCATCACGTCAAAGCTTGCGTTCCAAAGAACCAAGCCACGTTCGTTTGAATTACTATGTAAAACAGGGTTTTTCTGCAAGGTCAAGAAATGCTAATATGTCAGTGAAAACAATGTTCTGTTTTAAGTAACTGCTTCTCTGGATGAAAATTATCTTCTTTATCCTGATGCATTGCATGTGCTGTTTGACTAATGCAGACTATCCCTGACTTGTGTCACAGGCATATTTTCACCAGAAAACTGTGAAAAATAAAAATTATATCATGCCTAGGATAATATCCCAGAACTTCTTCAACTAATTTGCTGGTTTTGTTAAATCAGAGCCATTCCATGAACATTTTCTCCCTTCCTGATTTTTTTTTTTTTTCTTAAAGGAAACTTGATTTTAAAAAGATGGGACTGACATCAACCCCCTAAAACTGAAGACTGCCAAATTTCACAGCTGCTCCTTATCTCTATGATGGTCTGACCAAAACCCCAGAACTGACAGCTCTAAGTTCTACAAAAGTTGGGTTGTGAATTTTTATTTCTCAGACATGGATGCAAGCCACCAATATGAATCTACTTTAAGCTCAAGGAAAAGAAACAGAAAACACTTGCCTAATCTGCAGAAGTACTAGTGGGAGCGGATTTTTAGGCTCACACCCATACGTACACGTATAAGGGCAAGATAGTGTTATTTCTTTTTTCACACTGCATAGACAATGGGATATAACCCCACTTCTCACTTCCCACAGCTCACGGGTGCTGCCGCCTTCTGACACCCGCAGAGGGCAAAACGAGTGGAGAAGATCAGGGTTCTGGTTCCAGCCAACTCCAAATCTCTGTTCTGACCTACTTCGGCAGGCACACGCAAGCTCTCTGCTGCCTAGAGACCATATGTATGCTCCCTACACCCAGCAGTTGACAAGGCAAACTGTAAAAATCTTGTCCCGTTTCAGAGATTCAGGATTGCAAGTAAGGTCTAGGCTTCTTAATATTTTCTCTTCCATCTTCAGCAATAAATTCTTCCTAAGTCCCCTTCCCATGTGAGAAATTTGCTTTTTTTCCCACTTGTCGTGGTGTTTGGCGTATTGTGTGCTCAGAAACCTAGCAGCCTCGGAAGCTCGCTTTCTCTTGCTATTTCGTATCAACAAAATGGTGATATATTAGCAGGTACGAAGGATGAAAAATATTTATAGAGCTCAGATAGCTTTTTACTTAGCAAAGCACTGTTACCTGTCTGCATCCACAGTCACGTCATGAACCCCTCTCTGAATGACGTCTCGAGAGGCAGCTAGGTCTGGTATTCGGTTCAGACTTCTTGTATATAGGTTGAGTCCTCCATCTGTCATGTACCTGAAAATAAATGTGTGGTCAATCAGTGGGAAATGCAGCCATCTGGCAACCATGTTTCACTCTAAAGTTAATGGACTGTGGAATTCAAATGTTTTAAGGTACGGGCTGTCCTATTAGATGGTAGGCTTATACTACCTGGTATTAGATGGTAGGCTTATACTTGTGTGCCCAGCACAGGGAGATCAGATACACGCCTATTTTCTACGATCATTTGCCTTTTTCTGTGATGGCTTACAGGCCAACCTGTTTTACTAAAACATATTTAGACTGAAGTCCTCAAGTATTTTCAAAAATTAAAATAATTAAAATAATAATATAATTCAAAAAGTATATTGTAAGTATTGCAGTTTTGTCAAAAAGTAGCACCACATGCAAGAAGTGTAACTCTAGTTAAAAAAGAAAAAAAAAAGAAAAAAAAAGAAAAAAAAAGAATAAAAAAGAAAAAAAAAAGAAAAAAAAAGAAAAAAAAAGAAAAAAAAAGAAAAAAAAAAGAAAAAAATCACCAGCATCCATCTAAATGGGAACAGAAATTGAGAACCCAAATCCGTAGTCCCTGCTGGGATGCAATTATTTAGATATCAAAGAGATATCCACTGAAGCCCTTACAATGGCATTTAAGAATATGTTTCTATCTGTGTTCCTTTTGCTTGATTTCCACCACTTACCATTATAACGAATGACTAATGAATCGAACAGTGGGTATAGTACTTCTTACTCACTAGATTACCATTAAAAGTTTCTGAATTTCAAGCAGCAGCAATGATTTCTGGAATGCCTACCTACAGTTTAGTTACCTCTATGAGAGGTCTTGGTGCTTGTAACGGAGCAGTACCACAAGCCTGTCCTACTCTCAAGACCAGTCCCTTATTTCCTCAAAGGACCTTTAATTAATCAGTCTCACCTCTTAGGATCTTGTTTTTCACATTTCCCTCCTGTAGTGTTTGGTAACTTTAGTGTGGCAACCTAGTACAGAGTTCACACAAATTTATTTGTGAAGGACCATGCACGCGTACGGCACTGAACACAGAAGTATACATATACAGAAAAAAAAATGTGGTATACCCCAGTGAACCTACCCAAGGTAAAAATACAGACTTACTGAAATAAGCGTAGTCCCAACACTAGGATGACGGCTAAAATTATCTACTGGAGTTCACTCCCGATTCAAGTAATCTTTAAGACAAGTTCTCCTTGAGCCATGAAATGGTGCCACTCAAACCCGTCTTTCAATCGAAGCTTGTGTCCACGTACGCAAACATTTAACTCCAATAACTCTATGCAGACTCCCAGGCACAAGCCAAGGCACACACCCACCCCGCTGCTGCTCCAGATGTTCTGTTGGCCCTCGCCCGGCAGTTCCTTCTGGGAGCCGATTTAATTGAAATCAACTGTCCCAGAGACCGCGAGGCTCATACAGCAGCCCAGGAGCACCAGCCTCCCCCACCACGGTTCGGGGTAGGTGAACTGCTGCAGATTTTGAGAGCCAAGCCGCGGTCGTGTAGCCCTGTGTGACAGCTACAGCTTGAGACAGCATGGTGTTCTGGGTGGTAATCTGGATGAAGGTAATCTCGAGTGCATTAAAACACAAAGAGTTGGTTTATTTATTTTTAACTAAACTCTGAGGCATTTTATGCACTGGTAAGATTTGGCACAGGATTTCTGAAACCTTGGTATCTGGAGTCTGCAGGAGGTAACTTCACATTTGTTTTCAAAGATAAATTAACAGTCACACTTACACAATAAATTTATTCTTTTATTAAAGACAAAATTTAGTCTTTTTTAACAGATTATTTAGCTAGGCGTGAATTATGCAGTAGGTTCCAAGGCTCTGGAATTGCATATTAAATTTAGCTGTGGTTTGAATGCAGTCCAGTCTATATGGATTTTTTTCCTGCGTAAGTAAGGCCTGAATGAAGAGACTTAACAAGTGCAACAGGCCTTCCTCGCACTGATTCCTAATTACTGCTGCATCCCTGTCCCCAAGTGTTTAAAGTAATTAAACTGATAATGGAAGAGGCATAAAGGAAATAAGACTTTACATGCCTCAGTGAATCCTGAAATTTCAGAGCTTATTAACTTGTTTTTAACAGTTACCGCACCTAAAAATGTTAACTGAGCACATTGCAACTTACTGTCTATTGAGTCATCCTTATTACAGATGCAAAGAAAAGTCACACAAGATGACTATATTCATTCTTTAATGTGATAAGCTAATTAATACAACTGATCAGGCACTGCAAAGGATTCCCCTATCTTTTTCTTTTCTTTTTTAAATAAACCCATGCATCCATCAAAGGCAGCATTTATATTTCCTTTATGATAAAAGGTCTTCAGACATGAAAGCATTACATTTTCCATATGTCTCTTCTCTGTTCTGGCACACATGAATATATGACATCCTACTTGACAGCCACTAATGCGATGCTGTGGACAACCTTGTCAGCAGTGCTCCATTCACAGATCACTGAGACAGTGCACCAGGGAGATATAAGAATATGCTTTCTTTATAGCTATGCTTTTTCTAGAGATCTATCTTTGGATGGAGCTTGAGGTGAGACACTACTCTAGAGAGAGCTTTGATCACAGACTTACATTTGCCCTTAGGAACATATCATATCCAATTTCATCAGCCACCATTCTCTAATCATAGCTATACTTCAAACTAAAAGATTAGATTGACAGCAAGAGTCCTAAATTTATACAGAGTGAAGTAGTGTGGTGTGACATGGCCATGTACTGTATGGGACTTCTGTCCAACCCAATGTTACCTCAGCCACCAAGCAGCCTTGAGATGCCAACAACAGCACTGAACAGTAATTTGAGTATGAGTAAAACAGTAACATGGCTTGCTTTCTTTTTTAAGTGATGCTTTAAGAGGTCTACCATACATAGGAGGAAGTGACACATGTTTCAAGATTGATATAAGAATCGTTAAATAGTAATTCAAAACACAGTGAATGCAGTACCTCAAAGTCAATCAATTGATTAACCAAACAAAAATAAAAACAATTGTCATTCTTCCTCTTGGGAGTGCTAGGAGAGTGATCTATTCTTTTATGAAAAGATATTCCTACAGCTCAGATGATATGCACAGATGAAAAACTGCAATAAAGGCCTATCACACAGACTACACTAGACGGTATCTGAAGCGGAAACAGAGAAAGTCACTGCTGTCAGCAACTGCTTTTTATCAGCTGCATCCAATACCATATCTACCATCTCAAAACATAAAAATACCGAAAGAAGATCCATCCCAGGGCAAGCAGTGCAAAATGATGGCTTACCAAATAACTAAGAAATTCCAGCAAGTAATAAGAAGTATCTGTGCTCTTATCAAAGTTCGCAGCAAAGTCATCTTGATGTTAAAGGAGAAGAACTGAATTTGAAGGCAGCTGAGAACATCACTGGCAGCTTAGGAGCTTATTTTTGTTTTGTTTTTTTAATATACATATTTTTATGTTGCAACCATAGTGCAAGTTCCACTTGTGTGCTAGAATTTGTTCGAAAAATCCTATTAAACCCGCCAATCATGCATTAGTTCAAATGCAGAAAAAGTGCTACTTACCCACTATTGATGTCATCAGTTCTGAGGCTCTTCCCCAAAATGTCCCCATCACTCATGTAGCCACCAACGTCAACCTCAGAGGACATGTCCAAATCACCACTTCCCTTCTCACTCATGTCGATCTGTGAGATATTTCCAAGGCGAGAAACAGCTGCTCGGCGAAGCGGGGTGGTGTACATGAATCGAGAAGGGTCTGTGTGTATGAAGCGACTCGCGCTGCTGCGAGGATAACCAGCGCCCAAGGACGGGGCATCTCCTGCCTGCAGCCGAGGACTGGCCTGCCCTAGCCTCCAAGTCACCGGGGTGGACCGGCTTGTCAAGCTTGGTATGCTTCTCCCATTCACCTCAGTTGTCACAGTGCTGTCAAAAGTTGTCTCCAATGTGCTGCCAAACAAAATGGAGAAGTCAGTGAATTGTCCTTTCTCTGTTTCTGACAAGCAAGGAAAAGCAAAGGCTGGAAGGACGTGTGTTTTTTAAAAAAGTTCTGTGTGTGTGTTTCTCCATGTGCACACAGGGGTTTGTGTCTACAATCACCTCTACTTATAAAATAACCTAAAATAATTTTTATGGGCTTCTGTGTTGGTTTTGTGTGGCAAGGTTTT